AGCGGGCTCGAACGTTGTTCTCATAGTCATAACTCCATATGTTGTCAATCCATACATCCCAATAAGCACAAAAACGCACACCATCCGTCCTCTCAAAGAGCACACAAATCTCGAATACTTTGCAAGCCATGTGTCCGCTTTTGAGATGGTCTCGTCTTTGGGCACCGATTGGTAGGTGGGATCGTCGCAGAGAAAAACGATTGGCGCTAAGATGGTGTAGGTGAAGATGTAGTCGAGGAGAAGGGCCAAAGAAGCGGTCAGGCAGAACAGGGCCATTTGGAATCCATGGAAGATGGGAGCATGCCACGCGGATGAGGGAGAAAACCCCCGATCCTCCCAATACTATGAACACCATCTACACTGCCATCCTGGTCGCTTCCACTCTTGCCTATTCGGCTGTCGCCTGGATTGGACTCTCCATGGACCCAACTGCCTCCGAGGACCTCTTCTGAAGACCTCCACTGGGGACATCGTTTCAAAAAGAAAGAGCTTACTGCGATTGATGCTGATCTAATCTAGATGAAATGTTTTTTAATGATGTACACCTGTTGTTATATATTTTTCTTCCATCGTAATTGAATTTACATAGCTATAAAGCCTAGTCATAAGCTATAGAGGTAGCAATAAGTCAGAGTTGGTCTAAACGAGGTCATCAAATTGGTTGGATCGGCTATGCCAGAATTTAAATTTTCTAAACAAAGACAGCTTAAAAACGGCAGCTTAAATGTCAGACAAGTTTTTTCAAAAAATCGATCAAAACACACAAAAAAACCCCCTATAATCCTTCAGTACTCGTCGGCGGTCTCTCCCTGTGGGGTGCGGATTTGGATCCAGTGATTCAAGTCGACGTTCTTCTTGCCACTGGATTCTCGGTCGACTACACCGCCCATGTCGCCTACAACTACTTCCGAGCACGAGGCTCACCACAAGAACGTGTCTACAGTAGTCTCGCTGAGATGGCAATGCCGATGTGTGAAGCGGGTCTCTCCACGTTCCTTTGCATGCTCCCACTGATCTTTGTGCCAACCTATGCGATTGTGTGCTTTGCAAAAACCGTATTTTTGGTTGTCGCTATTGGTGAGTCTCTTTTTCAAAGCTATTAAAATCACTTGAGCTTTAAAATTGAAAATCGAAAATTTTTAAAGCTTTCAAAAGAGCACTTGATTTTTGTCGTTTTTTCAGTGCCTAAAAAATTATCTCAAAATTTATGGTTTATCTGAAATTTTCTGAGAATACTAAACAAAACTTGAGCTTAATTTTTGTAGTTGACAACTTTTTTGTGCAAACACGCTCTAACGAGATATGCCACGTGGAAGACGCTGTTTAGGTGGCGGCTAGACGGCGGCTGAAACATATAAAATAGGTTTTCCGCTTTTTCGAGCGGTTCAAAGTGTGCTTCAAACTTTTTCGATTTTTCTGAAACTTTATGAGGACATAAAATAAAACTCGAGCTTTATTTTTGTAGTGCACAACTTTTCTAAGCAAACGCGCTCTAATGAGATACGCCTGTTTTTCCAAGCCCCCCCCCCCTCCTTGTGGCCAGGAAGGCGCGCATCTGATAGCTGCGCGCTGCCACGTGGTCTATCTCCTTAGAGCGCGTTTGCACATAAAATTTTCAACTACAAAATTAAAGCTCTATTTTTGTTTGGTATATTCTGAAAATTTCAGAAAAATCGAAAAAGTTTGAGGTGCATTTTCATGCACTGGAAAATCGCTAAAACCTCTGAAATTGAAGCAAACGCGCTCTAATAACAAATAACTCGTTCCAGGTCTCCTCCATGGTCTCTTCATTCTCCCCGTCGTTCTTGCTCTTTTCTCAAGAAATTCAATTGATGAAAAAGATACTCCACCGCCAGCGGCAATCACATTTGCAGCCGATCAACCACTAGTTGACAAGAATCTGGATGCTGTCTGAATCTTTGAAAAACAAAATATCAAAAGTGCAATAGAGCACACTTCCTCCTCCTTCTTCTTCTTTTTTCCCTGAACGTGTAGAATCTCTTTGAACTGTTTTGTTGTTATTTATCACCTTATTTTTGTGTACATATTTTTTCTTTGAGTCTTGCAAATGCGCTCCATGGAGAATTTGCAGATTAAAATAAAACATATCAGAATAAAAATCCTAAAAATTCCAATATTCAGAGTTCCAGAAAATCTAAAAAATATATGAAATTCAAAAAAAAGTCGATTTCCGGAAAGCCTAAAGATCTACCTTGATCTACCTAAAGAGCGAAGACATTCCTGTGGTTATTTTCCTTGCTCTCTGAGCTCAATTATCTCGACTCCTGTCAGAGATATCAAAAAGTGGTCAACTGATAAAATGATTATCATAATATCAGCAACATTTTATCAATTGATTACTTTCTGATATCTCATAGCGACCGAGTAAATCAAGCTCAAAAAAAGGTGTTCCTTCTGATTTCTGATCCTCCATAACAATTTTCACTTATCAGTTCCAGTTTCACTTTTTCTTTGCCCTCCATCATCTTTTGATGATACCCGTTTCTCGTAATCCCATTGCGCAACTGTCTTCTTTTCCTCTTCTTCTTGTCATGAATTGATTCTTTTCCTACGGTGACGCCGTCAGAAAGAAGCAAATGTTTGGCAGAAGTGGAGAAGGAGGACAAAACTGTTACACTGAGAGAATGACTGTACATCAAAGAATGCGTATCTCTTTTTTCCTCTTTTTGTCGCCGAAAACGTCTTATCGATTTTTCCGATTTCTTGGGATTCTTGGAATTATTGGAGCCCCATTCTTTAGCAATATTTTTTTTAATCAAAAAATGTCGACTGAATTTTTTTTGTCAGTTTTTAATTATTTTTAATTATTAATTTTCTAATTTTTAATTATTTAATTATTAATTTTAGGGGTATTTTTGTACGACCGTTCCCTTTGCGGTGTTTACACCAGCTACTTTGTCTACCGTATCTCAAGAAGACAGCTGCGACCGTGTAGCTGAACTTAAAGCTATGCCTTATTTATAGTCATTTTAAAGCTTATAAGCAGCTTAATCTAAAAATTTAAATTTCATATATTTTGGTCAAAAACTCAGCGAGATATGATCATCTAACCAATTTTCGGTTTTTTTTGTATTTTTGAGTAAATTCATAAAATTTCATGAATTTCAAGTGTCTTAAAAAGTAGCTTAAACTTTTTCGATTTGTCTGAAATTTCAGAAAACACTAAACAAAACCAGAGCTTCGATTTTTTAGTTGACAACTTTTTTGTGCAAACGCGCTCTAAGGAGATATGCCACGTGGAAGTGCACAGCTGTCAGGTGCGTTAAAGCGCGTTTGCTTTGAGCGGCTAAACATAAACCTTAATCTTTTTCGATTTTTTTGAAAATTGTACAGTATACAAAACAACACTAGATCTTATTTNTTGGGTTGTTGACAACTTTTTTGTGCAAGCGCGCTGTAACGAGATGTGCCTCGTGGCAGCGGGCAGCTACCAGATGTGGTAGAGCGTGTTTGCTTTAGGTAGCTAAAAATGTGGCTCACACTTTTTGGATTTGTCTGAAATTTCTAGATAATACTAAACAAAATGAGAGCTTCAATTTTGTAATTGACAACTTTTATGTGCAAGCGCGCTCTAAGGAGATAGCCTAGTTTCCCACACCCCTCTCCTTGCTGCTCGCTGCCACGTGGCATATCTCTTTAGAGCGCGTTTGCACAAAAAAGTTGTCAACTACAAAATTAAAGCTATAATTTTGTTTGGTTTTTTCTCAGGTTTTCAAGTTGATTCGTCAAGTTTCAGTATGATTTGTAATTGCCTTTTCACACCGAAAAACTTTTTTTCGAATTTTTCGGAATTCCAACTATATCTTATGACCTTTTCTTTTGACCTTTCTCATCTTGACCGTCGTCTTTTTCAGAGAAGAGGAAGATAGTATCGGAAGAATTCTTCCGCACCGATTTAGAGATTTTTGAAACCGATTAGGGTTGGCGATGTGTTATTTCTCAGCTGATCTTTTGGGAAATGAGAGTGAGAGAGAGAGAGAGAGAGAGAGAGAGAGAGAGAGAGAGAGAGAAAGAGAGAGAAACTTAGAAAAGTGTTTGTTCGTTTTTTCAGTTATTTGCACTCTCTTTTTTAAATCATCATTAACAAGTGTCTCTTTCTTGTGTGCCAACCCGACAACTATATCCGAGACATACCAATTTTTAACTTTTTTTTGAACTGATCTTCTTGGAACCTTTTTGAATTTAGAGCTTGATAACCATTGAGATTAGCCATTGCCATAGCCTCTAAGCTTCACGGTCCCAAAATTCGCTGCTGGCTTTTTTGAATGATTGAAAGTGTACTTCAAACTTGTCCCGTCTGTCTGAAATTTCCAGAGAATACTAAACAAAAATAGAGCAACATTTTTGTAATTGACAACTGTTTGGTGCAAACGCGCTCTAGCGGGATATGCCTGTTGTTCCAAGCCCCTCCTTGTTGCCGTGAAAGGCGCCCAACTGATAGCTGCGCGCTGCTATGTGGCTTATCTCCTTAGAGCGCGTTTGCACACAAAAATTTTCAATTACAAAATTGAAGCTCTATTTTTGTTTAGTATTCTCTGAAAGTTTCAAAAATTTAACTTACCCCGAACTCTCAAAAAATCATCTGGAAAATCGGCCATTTTTGACCCCAAATTTTTATCCCCTTATTGTTTACCACCCGGTGCCGGTAGTCAACATGTTACCAAAAATTTGTTTAAGAACACTTTTGCAAATAATTAAACTCAAGTAAATAAAATTTCTTTTAGTTTACCAATAAGATTTAGCTGCCCACTGATTACTACGCGATTACGCCTACTTTTGAGAAAGAATGACGATTTGAGGAAATTCGATTTTTCCTGTTGTTATTTATTATTTTATCAACCCAGCCATAGTTTTGGCCTACTTAATCAGTCGATAGAATTCTCGTCTTTTTGATTTCTGAAATTTTAGATTCTTAGATTCTTAGACTCTTAAGAACTCAGGAACCAATGGACCCAAGGGCCCAAGGAGCCAAGACCCTTGGTCCTGATTCCTGGCCCTAGGACCCGTGGTCCTGGATCCTGGGCCCACGACACGGGCTCCTGATCCTAAGATTCGAAGATTCTGAGATCCTGATATTTCGGAAGACTGAGATTCAGAGATTCCTGGGATTCTGAAATTTTGAAATTCTGAAAATCTAGGTTTTGAAGATTCTCAGATTCTTAGATTCTTAAGAGATTTTCGGATTTTTCGCATCTAAAATTTCGAAAATGTTCCAGATTCCAGATTCTAAATTTCAGAACTGTGTAATTTTTGATTTGTAGTACTGTACCTTTTTTTCTGAATTTCAACCCTTATAACCATCCGAAACTTCCATTCATATTCTTCTCAACGTCTTGATGACCCAACTGACAGTATAATTCTATTATGCATCACTCAAAAAATAAAAATCTAAACCAGTTTTGAAATTATTCATTCATAAATCATCCCGGGAAAAAAAAGTAGGTCTAAGGTGTTCTCGAGACGGGCGGTCTCTTTTCTTTTCTTTGATTTTCTCTCTCTCCCTCTCTCTCTCTCTCATTCATTTCGTTTTTCGGAAAGGGACACATATATGATCGAGTCTTCTTTTTTGCTTCCTGCGCAATTCCTCCGTCGATCTTTTCAATTTGTTTCTCTGCGTCTCCTCGATCTCTCGCCTTTCTTTTATTTTTCTTTATTTTTCTGTCTGTTTGGTATGAGACACCCCCCAACCAGCCAGCCCAGCCCCCCTATTCAATTATTTCCGGTATTTTTGTTTCGGGAAGAAACAAAATTCAATTGGTTCTGAAATTTTTGGAATTTTTGGAATACTGTAGCTAGTTGATTTTCAAGGTTTTCGATCATTTGAAAAGTTTCGGGTATTCAGAATTTTTTTGGGTTTTTAGGAAGCTGAAATTCGGTGCTGAAATTTGTGGAATTTGTGGAATACTGTAGTTATTTTCTAAAATTTTTGGTATTCTTCTAGATTCCCAGTTTTAAAAATTCTTCAAACTTCTGAAATGATACTGTAGCACTATCTGAAATTTAGGCTTTCCCCTTCATTTTTGGGGTTTGCTATTTTTTGGATTTTCAGAATTTTCTGATTTTCAGTATTTTTCAGAATTTCCGTCGTTCCCGGAATCCCCCAATTTTGTAAAGTTTCAGTTTTCAGCGAATTTTGACTTTTTGAAATTTTTGAAATTTTTGAAATTTATTTTCTATTATTCTGGAATCTTTGAATCTCCTACATTTTCAGATTTTTTCCAGATTCTGTGATTTTCGAATTTTGGAATTTTCCGAATTCTCGATTTTGATGGAGATCCTCAAATTTGAAAATTTGAAAATTTTCAGCAAATTTTCTGGAATTTGGAATTTTTGGATTTTTTCAGATTTCTGGAATTTTCGAAATTTGGAATTGTGGATTTTTGAACTTTTAGAAGTTTCAATTTTTCTGAAATTTCTGAATTTCTTAAATTTTCAGATTTTTTCCAGATTCTGTGATTTTAGAGTTTTAGATTTTTTGCGAACTCTCGATTTTCATCGAGATCCTCAAATTTGAAAAAACTCAATTTTCAGCAAATTTTCTGGAAATTTCAAATTTTTGGAATTCGGAATTTTTAAAATTTCTCAGATTTTTGAACTTTCTGGGTTTTCAATTTTCATAGAATACTTGAATTTCATGTATTTGAATTTGTGGGACACTGTAGTTTCAAAATTTCAGAAATTTCTAGAAACCAAAAAACCACCGAATAACAAATTCAAAAAATTCGGTTCCGTTCCCTCCGACTAGTCATACTTCCCCTAAATTTACCCCCAAATTATGTCGTAATTTCCAAAAACCCCAAAACTTCCTCTTCTTTTTCCTCTTGACTCAGCAGACATTCCCATTTTCTTATCACTAAAAAATTGAATATGTCAGAATTATTATTGTTTGTTTGTTTACACCAGTTTGACTATAAAACCCTTACTGTCAACTTTCAACCAAAATTTCTCATTTCCTGTGAAAGATTTCAAAAAGTGGTCAACTGATAAAACATTTGTTATTTTATGATAAACATTTTAACAGTTGACCACTTTTTGATATCGGTGCCAGGAACCTAGATAAATTGGGTCGACGTTAGCAGATCCCTTTTTAAAGGTTCTGCTCCTCTCAATCTATTTTTTCTTCATTTTTCTTGATTTAAAAAAAAAAATCTCTCTCAAAAATTATTTTTTTTTAATTTATAAAATTCATTTTTCAGGTTACTCAATACCAGCGCAAATGCGCGCAAAAAACACTCTGTACATAGCGTTTCTAATCTCAGTCGTCTTCATTTACCATGTCATAGGTATGCTTTTTTGTTTTCAAAATATCTCAAAAACTAAGAAAGCTGAAAAAAAGTTATTAGTTAATAAAATATGAAGCATTAAAAGAACTAAAATTTGGTCTAAAAATCATATTTCTAGATACTTTAGTTTTGGAGTTATGTGTTTTTTGAGTTTCCGCAGAGAAACTCGACTTCCTCGTTTCTCTGCGTCTCTGGAAGCCCGACTGAAAAGGCGAGAGACGCAGAGAAGCAAGACTCTCTCGTTTCTCTGCGTCTCTATTATCAAGTAACCGATCTAGTGATCTTTGAAGATGCACCACTGATCTCAAAAATCGCAGGATCCATTTTTTTTTCTTTTCTCTGTGTGCTCAAACAATTTTGCCGCTAGATTTCTAATTTTGCAGAGAGAACACTTTTTGTGATCTTGATATCACAAAACAAAGAACAGAGACGCAGAGAAACAAAACTCCTTCATTTGAGAGACGCAGAGAAAGAAGACTCCCTCGTTTCTCTGCGTCTCTCTGGAGGAAACTTTAAAGGCGCATATCTCAAAAACTAAAGTAGCTATAAAGATGATTTTAATACCAAAATGTAGGATTTTTATGCTTTAAAATTTGTTAACTGTTGATGTTTTTGTAGTGTTTCTTGTTTTTGAGATATAAGCTCTGAAAGCTCGCTATCTGGAATTTAGTTATCAAACTTTTTTAAACGTTGTATCTCGAAAACCAAAGTAGCTAGAAATTTGATTTATGTAAAAATATGCAGGATTTTTTATGGTTCACTTTTTGTTAATTGCTCACATTTTTGTAGCTTTCATAGTATTTAAGCTAGATGCTCTCAAAGTTGGCTGTTCTCATTTTGCCCAGAAAAGCGAGACTCTCTTGTTTTTCGGCCTCTTTATTTTACCTTTAGATAAAAATTTCAAAATTGTCAACTTTCAAAAAAATCAACAAATTTGTCGCATTTCTTTACTGATATAATAAGCCTCTCACCCGTACCACCGGTACCGCCTAAACAATTCTGAATAACAAAAAATTCAGCATCAGCACAAAGATTGTACCTGAGCTGTTTATTTGCTTCAACCAAGAAAAATAAGTAGGCGAAAAACTTTGTTGACCCATAAAAAATGTAGAAAATTTAAAAGGCAAACAAAAAAAAATAATTTCTGAGAATAGATACATTTGGCGGCGAGCTCCCGGATGGTATTTGCACATTGCGGTGACCGGAAAATATGTTTTTTTTTTGGAGAAAAAGGGAAAATGAGAAAACGAAGGAAAGGTGTGAAAAATCACGGAGCAACAAGGGGGAGGTTTTAGGAAGAGTTTAGGCCATGAAAAACTTTAGAAACGAAAAAAAATTCAATAAACGATGCAGAACATACAAAAAATCCTACATTTTGGTATAAAAATCATGTTTCCAGCTATTCTAGCTTTCGAGATAAAAAGCTTTGAAAATCTTGGGAACTAAATTCCAAATAAGGAACTTGGAAACCCCCTATCTCAAAAACTAAAAAAGCTACAAAAATATTACAAACTAATAAAATTTAAAGCATAAAAAATCCTACATTTTGGTATAAAAATCATATTCCTAGCTATTTTAGTTTTTGAGATATGCGCATTTAAAGCTAGCTGGAGAGAGACGCAGAGAAACGAGGGAGTCTTCTTTCTCTGCGTCTCTCACACAAGGCAAGCTTGTTTCTCTGCGTCTCTATTCTCTAAACTAAAAATTCTGAAAATGAAAAATCTCTAAGTTCAGGACTTCAACAAAATGAAGAGTTCCAACGGTATGATGGATGGTACAATAATCTGGCCAACAAGGAATGGGGATCGGCTGGTGAGTGAACTACCGTAACTTTGATCTCAATTATCTCGGCTCTTATAACAAATAGAAAAAAATTGTAAACTACGAAAATGTTGTTGACATTGTGACAAAAATTTTATCAATTGACCGCTTTTTGATAGCTGTCATGGCAACCGAGATAATTGAGCTCAATTAAGCTTGCCATTTTTGCTCTATGAGAAGCCTACCCTATACGAGCACACTGAGCCCAAATATTTCGGTTCCTAGGATAGATAGCAAAAAGTAGTCAATTAATAAAATGTTTATCAGAATATCAAAAACATTTTATCAGTAGACAAATTTTCATTATCTCCTTTGGGAACTGAGATAATTGAGCTTAACCAAATATCTTCCTACTTATGGTATTTTCCAGGTAGCCGACTCCATCGTGACGCCCGGTCCGCATACTCGGATGGTGTATACTCTGTAAATAACTCGTTACCATCGGCCAGAGAACTATCGGACACACTTTTCAAAGGAGAATCTGGAATTCCAAATACCCGAGGGTGTACGACACTTTTGGCGTTTTTCAGTGAGTTTTTCAGATCCTTAGATTCCAAACTCAGAATTTTCAAATAGTCGAATTTAGTATCATTTTGTAGTTCTCTTCGAGTTCCACATTTTACTTTTTAAATCAAACAGAAATTCCAAGTTTGAGCCGAGTTATGACACGACAAAAATTTTCAGGTCAAGTCGTCGCTTACGAGATCATGCAATCCAATGGCGTTTCCTGCCCGCTAGAGACTCTCAAAATCCAAGTACCCCTATGTGACAGTGTCTTCGACAAGGAATGCGAAGGCAAAACCCAAATTCCATTTACCCGAGCAAAGTACGATAAAGAAACTGGAAACGGTCTGAACTCGCCTCGAGAACAAATCAATGAGCGGACGTCGTGGATCGATGGATCCTTCATTTATGGGACCACACAACCATGGGTGTCTTCGTTGAGATCTTTCAAGCAAGGACGTCTGGCGGAGGGAGTTCCCGGGTATCCACCACTCAACAATCCACACATTCCATTGAATAATCCGGCACCACCACAAGTGCACCGATTGATGAGCCCCGATCGGTTGTTTAGTGAGTTTCAGCTATCGTTGGATCAAATCGCTTGAAATTTCCTGTTAATGATAAAACATCTTGTTAATGATACTGTAAACTAAACATTGACCAAATTTCATTACATTTGATTCACCGGGTTTTGAGATAAAGTATCTACAAGTTACCGTAAACTTTGAGCCCGACATATCTCATGTTCTGTAACAGATATCGAAAATCTGTCAACTGATAAAATATTGATAATGTTATGGCACACATTTTATCAGTTGACAATTTTTTGATGTCTTTCCCAAGAAATGAGATATATGGGTTCAAAGTTTACAGTATGGAAGCCATCTATCGCAGACTTTAGGGTTCCTATACATACTTGAACTTCAGTTATGCATATCTCAGCTCTCCTTGAATCAAAATGCTTGAATCTTAAAAATCTCATCAAGAACAAAATTAACTACAAAGTGACCAGATTTGATTACATTTGATTCATCGAGTGCAGAGATATATACCTTTTCGTTTGGCTTACCAGTTTTTTCGTTTTTTTTTTTGACTTACCAATTTTAGGTGTCCCACATCTCAGTTTCTAATGGATGAAATTTATATTCTAAAAGTTTCGATTGATCAAAACGACTTTGAGCAGGGTTCGGAAATTAAAGTTACGGCTACGAAGAAGTCACAAGACTTATATCTGAACTTAAAACCAACTGAAATCTCTATCTCCCTCAACTACCCATTTTTCAGTGCTCGGCGACTCGCGTGTCAACGAAAATCCAGGACTCCTCTCGTTCGGTTTGATCCTGTTCCGTTGGCACAACTACAATGCTAATCAAATCCATAGAAAACATCCCGAATGGACCGATGAGCAGATTTTCCAAGCGGCGAGACGCCTTGTGATCGCGTCGATGCAGAAAATTATTGCCTATGATTTTGTGCCGGCGCTTTTGGGTGAGTTTTTTTTAGAATATGCTGTTTAATAGAAATTTTTTAAGAGCTACATATTGGTATAAAAAGCATAAAGAAGTGTGTGATTTGAAGAAAGTTTTAGAAAATTATCCTAAAAATGGTGTGTCAATTTTGACCAAAATTAATTATCTCGGTTCCTAAAAGAGATAACAAAAATTAGTAAACTACAATTAAAATGTCCGCCATGATATGATAAACATTTCATCAGTTAACAATTTTTTGATATCTCTTTTAGGAACCGAGATAATTGAGCTCAAATTCTGACGGTGACGCAACCAGCGGCGCCGGTCGAACCGCGCTTAACTGAAGCTCAAATATCTCGGTTCCTATAAGAGATAACAAAAATTTTTAAATTAACAAAATGTCCGCCATGATAAGACAAACATTTTATCAGTTGACAGATTTTAACAGCTCTTACAGGAATTGGGATAATTGAGTTCAATGGGCAAGTTGCTTGGCCACAAGCGCTTACCGCAAGCATAGGATGGCATAGTGTATGATATACGGTTTTGGAACCTTGTGTTTTCAAGGAGCGAAAATTCAGAAGCCTTGAAACCAATAATTCCAAAAATATATCTTACAAACTTCAGGACCCGACGTTCGCCTATCCAACTACACCAAATACATGCCTCACGTACCCCCTGGCATCTCTCACGCCTTCGGAGCCGCCGCCTTCAGATTCCCCCACTCCATCGTTCCACCAGCGATGCTTCTGAGGAAACGAGGAAATAAATGCGAGTTCCGAACGGAAGTCGGCGGTTATCCAGCATTGAGACTTTGTCAAAACTGGTGGAACGCACAGGATATTGTCAAGGAGTATAGTGTGGATGAGATTATTTTAGGTAAGTCATAGATTAGTTCAGCTCTTGCTTTGGAGCTGAAAAAAAGACTGGGGGTTTTAATTGTGCAACCAATATTGTATTCATCTTATGTTAAATTTCACGATCTGTTGAATGGTATAAAAATATATGATGTACGTTGAACATGAAGGAAGTTAAAAGCAAGAATTCCAGGAATGGCCAGTCAGATCGCCGAACGCGATGACAATATTGTTGTCGAGGACCTTCGCGACTACATTTTCGGACCAATGCATTTCTCTCGTCTTGACGTTGTTGCCTCATCGATCATGAGAGGAAGAGATAACGGAATTCCACCATATAACGAGCTCCGACGAACTTTTGGACTTGCTCCGAAGACGTGGGAGACGATTAACGAGGATTTCTACAAGAAGCACACAGACAAAGTTCAGAAGCTGAAGGCACTCTACGGAGGAAATATCTTGTACCTGGATGCCTATATTGGAGGGTTGGTAGTCTTCAAAGTTTTTAAAATTCGAGCTCGTTTCTTTCCAGAATGCTCGAAGGTGGAGAAAACGGACCTGGGGAGCTGTTCAAGGAGATCATTAAGGATCAGTTTACCAGAATCCGAGATGGAGATCGCTTCTGGTTTGAGAACAAGTTGAATGGAATTTTCACCGAGGAGGAGGTTCAAATGATTCATGGGATTACGTTGAGGGATATTATCAAGGCAACCACGGATATCGATGAGGGAATGTTACAGGATGATGTGAGTTTTTAAGCCCTTATATCTCATTTTCTGTGAAAGATATCAAAAAGTGGTCAACTACCAAAATGTTTATCTGAACATCAAAAGTATTTTGCTAGTTGACGACTTTTTGATATATTTTACAGTAACCGAGATAAACTGAGTCTGAATTGATGGGTAGGAAACTGCGACCGCGTGGCTCAGCGGAGCCATTAATTTTAAGCCGATTTATTTCATTTCCTGTAAATGATATCAAAAGGTGGTCAACTGGCAAAATATTTATCATAATATCAAAAATATTTTGCTAGCTGACTACATTTTGATAGCTTTTACATGAAATAAGATATATGGTGTCAAATTTGACGGTTTGAAAAGGAGGGGGTTCTATTAAAGTGTGTGTAACTCGGCTAGAACTTGGAATTTTCATCTGATTTTAAAGGTAAAATGCAGAGCTTTACAAGATCTACAAAATGATATAAAATTCGGCCACATTCGAATTGCCGGGCATTGAACTAGGGACCTTAAAACAGGAGGGTTGGGTCGACGCTACCTTGTCCGAATTGATTCGGATGTTCTACGTCTTGAGGTTCAAGACTCAGATTTTGGGAATTGTTGAATTTAATAACACTTTGTAGGTCTTGTCAAGTTCTACATTTTACTTTTTGAATCGAACCAAATTTCTAAGTTAGAACCGAGTTATGAGTTAAGCCCCACGGGTTGACCCAGTTGACAATTATCGAATTTCTGACCAGAGCATCGATTCGAGTTGCTTGGCTCTTCACGGCCTTTTTCGACTTTTTGGCCGCATAGCTAGCCCCAGAACCTAATGAAATATTATTTTCCAGGTGTTCTTCTTCAAAGAAGGCGATCCATGTCCCCAACCATTCCAAGTCAACACCACCGGTCTCGAGCCATGTGTCCCATTCATGCAATCCACGTATTGGACTGATAATGATACCACCTATGTGTTCACATTGATCGGCTTGGCTTGTGTTCCTTTAAGTAAGCTTTTTCAAATTATCAGATTGATAATATCGATTTTTCAGTCTGCTACGGAATTGGTCGCTACTTGGTCAACCGTCGTATCGCAATTGGTCACAACAGCGCTTGTGACAGTCTGACCACGGATTTCTTAAATGATGCCTGTAATCCAAAAGGAGATGTTTATTGTGTGAATGGTAAGAAGATTTTCTAAATACTAAAAAGTCAAAAAATATCGATTTTTAGCTCTGGAATGGCTACAAGAAGAATACATACGACAGGTGCGGATAGAAATAGAGAATACAACATTGACGGTGAAAAAGCCACGTGGCGGGATTCTTCGGAAGATTCGATTCGTCGCCGAACAAGATATCGACGTCTTCCACTCAACCCCAAATCCAGAAGCCATGCACGGTCCATTTGTGATGTTGTCGCAGAAGAATAATCATCCTCTAGTGATACGGTTACCATCTGATAGGGATTTGTCGAGGTTTTTGGATCAGATTCGGGAAGCGGCCACTGGTATCAATGCAAAGGTCAATGTCGCCGATGAGGAGAATCAGGTGGGATTTTTAATGGATTTGAGACAGCGAACATTTTGGGAAATCTAGTTAGATCATTGATTGGCAATCGACAAACCTAGAATATGGATTTCTATAACAAAGAATCAATCCTAAATCTCTCTTCAGGTTCTCCTCGACCAAGCAGTCACCAAAGAACGCCGTCAAGACCGTCTGGATCAATTCTTCCGTGAATCTTACGCGAAAGCATTCAACGACGATGAGCTTCGTGATACAGAAACATCGATTGACTCAACAAGTGATGATATTCTAAATGAGACAATCTCTCGAGAGGAGTTGGCGTCAGCAATGGGAATGAAGGCGGATAATGAATTTGTGAAGAGAATGTTCGCGATGACGGCGAAACACGATGAGGATAGTTTGAGTTTCAATGAGTTCCTAAAGGTGTTGAGGGAGTTCGTGAATGGTTCGTTTGGTTTAATAATTATTGTTATAGAAATAGAGCCGCCAGATAAGCTCATTGATAAAAAAAACCCAGGGTTCAGGCCTCCCCAAGTTTGACTCAATTTATCTCAATTCCTATAAGAGCTATCAAAAAGTTGTCAATTAAAAAAACATTTTGTATGGTATGATGATCATTTTATTATTTGGAAACTTTTTGATATCTTTTACAGGAACCAAAATAAATCGAGTCATAGGTACAGGGGCCCTTCTATCCCACCGTAGATTGGAGGCGCCGCGCCGCTGGGACACCTGCAGTCGCACCTATTAACTTTTAGTCAATTTATTTCATTTCCTATAAAAGTTACTAAAAAGTTGTTAACTAACAAAATGTTTATCGTAATATAAGCCACATTTTATCAATTGACAACCTTTTGCTATCTCTTACAGAAACCAAAATAAATTGAGTCATAGGTACATGGGCCTTCTATCCCACAGTCGGTTGGAGGCGCCGCGGCGCATTACCTGTTACCTATAACCTAATTTATCTCGGTTCCTGTAAAATATTTAAAAAAGTTGTCAACTAACAAAATGTTTATCGCAATGTTAACTACATTTTATTAATTGGTTACTTTTTGATATCTTTTACAGGTACAGAGATAAATGTGATCTAAGTTAGCAGGGGCCTTTCTATCGCTTAGGGGCTAGGAGACCTGTCAACTATGACCTAATTCATCTGGGTTCCTGTGAAAGGTATCAAAAATTTGTCAAATAACAAAACGTTTATCATGATACAAGCAACATTTTATTTGTTGACTACTTTTTTGAATGTTTAACAGAAACCAAGATAAATTGGGTCAAAAAGTACTCCTAATTTTTTTTCAGCGCCTCAAAAAGAAAAACTTCAAACTCTGTTCAAAATGTGTGATCTGGATGGAAAGAATAAAGTTTTGAGGAGAGATTTGGCAGAATTGGTGAAGTCTTTAAATCAAACAGCTGGTGTCAATATCAATGAAGGAACACAGATGCGGCTTTTCAATGAAGTTCTTCATAGTTCTGGTCAGTAAGATTATTTTTCGCCTGTTCAGAAAATGGCTGAAACTAGATAGAATTTCTTGGAATTTTTTGGAACATGTCGATTACAAATAGAGCTTCATTTTTGTAATTGACAACATTTGGGTAAAATTTTGTCGTAGAGAGATATGGCATCGGCCGCCCCCTAACCGCCATCGAGCCACCTAGCAAGCCGCCACCTAGCGTCTTCCACGTGGCATATCTCTTCTAGATCAAATTTTACAAAAAAGTTGTTAACCACAAAAATGAAGATCTAGTTTTAATTAGTATACTTTACAAATTCCAAAGCAATTCATCAACTTTCAATAAGTTTCAAAGCTAGCCAAAGTTTGTGTACTTTTTTTGGTCGAAAAGTTACATCTTGATCTTTTCAGCTTCATAACTTTTTTCAAACTGCATATTTTGCAACGATTTTAACACCAAAATGTAGCCCGTAAAATTTCCTACAAAACCACATTGCAAATTTTCAAATATGCATTTCCAGGAGTAAGCAACGATGCCAAATACTTGACCTATGAGGACTTCAACGCTCTCTTCTCTGATATCCCTGACAAACAGCCAGTTGGACTTCCATTCAACCGGAAAACCTTCCAGCCAAGTATTGGGGAGTAAGTGAAGAACTGCGAATTTTCAAGACAATATCTTCTTTCAGTTCTTCCTCTCTCAACTCATTCGCAGTCGTGGATCGCTCTATCAACAACTCGGCGCCAATGACCCTCGTCCATCAAGTTTGCGCATTTTTGGAGACTTATCGTCAGCACGTCTTCATTGTCTTCTGCTTTGTTGCCATCAATTTGGTCCTGTTCTTTGAGCGATTCTGGCGTAAGTTTTGAGCTTCGCAAACAGTGAAAAAAACATGATTTCCAGACTACCGCTACATGACTGAAAACCGAGATCTCCGACGAGTGATGGGTGCGGGTATTGCAATCACTCGTGGTGCTGCTGGAGCTCTGTCGTTCTGTATGGCACTGATCTTGCTCACCGTGTGTAGGAACATCATCACTTTGCTCCGAGAGACAGTCATCTCGCAGTACATTCCATTTGATTCGGCAATTGCGTTCCATAAGGTAGGCTTGAAGAGATAGAGCCGTAGGGGGTAAGATCAGCGATGAGATCAGCGATGAGCTCAGCACCGGGGACCAGCGCAACGACCTTCCGAGATTCAAAAACCCCCAGCTCCTCGCTGAGCCTCACAGGAAGCCGCGCCTTTTTGGTTACGGTACCTCTAGAAACTTCTGGGTCGCTGAGCTTATTTCCGACCTACCCACGGTCCGGACCGCGCAGAATAAGATCCCAGACTCTCAGAGCATCTAGTTCATTACAGATCGTCGCTCTGTTTGCCGCCTTCTGGGCTACACTGCACACTGTCGGGCATTGTGTCAATTTCTATCACGTCGGAACACAATCCCAAGAAGGACTCGCCTGTCTCTTCCAGGAAGCGTTTTTCGGGTAAGTGACTGGAACCCGGGCTACGCAGATACTCAGCATACTGGAATCTGGCTAGCTTGGTTGGCGGATTTTCCAGTCGATAGTCGGTAGCCGACTTCGGGACCACATAGCGTCGCCCACCTTCACGTACACTTTGAGTTGAATGATCTCGTTTCCTTTAGAAGATATCAAAGTTTTGTCAACTGATAAACTGTGACCGATATTATGATGAATAGTTTATCAGTTGACAAAATTTTGAAATATTGGAGAGGAATCGAGATAGTTAAGCTCGAAGTATACGTGCGTACAGAGTGGGAACAGAATCACTATGATCTACGCTGTCGTTACCAACCTTTCTTTCCCTTCAGATCCAATTTCCTCCCCTCCATCAGCTACTGGTTCTACGGCACCATCACAGGGCTGACAGGAATCGCCCTGGTTACTGTAATGTGTATCATCTACGTCTTCGCACTGCCTTGCTTCATTAAACGAGCTTACCATGCATTCCGGCTCACACATCTTCTCAATATTGCCTTCTATGCCTTGACAATTCTTCACGGATTACCCAAATTGTTGGATGTGAGTTTTTCTGTCTAATGTAAGATTAGAATGAATCTTAATTTTCTCCCATTTTTAGTCCCCCAAATTCGGCTACTATGTTCTTGGGCCTGTTATCATTTTCGTCATTGACCGTATTATTGGATTAATGCAGTACTATAAGAAATTGGAAATTGTCAGTGCTGAAATCCTTCCATCCGACATCATCTACATCGAGTTCCGACGTCCCAGAACCTTCCAATACAAGTCCGGCCAATGGATTACTGTATCCTCCCCATCGATTTCTTGCACATTCAACGAGTCGCACGCCTTCTCAATCGCTTCCAGTCCTCAGGATGAGACAGTTAAGCTGTACATCAAGGCAGTGGGTCCATGGACGTGGAAATTGAGAAGCGAGCTGCTCCGAGCTCAGAACACTGGCTCACCATACCCGCTGATTCACTTGAAGGGACCATATGGCGATGGAAATCAGGAATGGATGAATTACGAGGTGGCGATTATGGTTGGTGGAGGTATTGGTGTTACTCCATACGCCTCGACGCTCAACGATTTGGTCCAGCTGACTGCCAGTGACTCTTTCCACAAAGTTCGATGCCAAAAAGTGTATTTCCTCTGGGTGTGTCCTTCGCATAAGAACTATGAATGGTTTGTGGATGTGTTGAAGAATGTGGAGAATCAGGATCGACGTGGAATTCTGGAGACACACATCTTTGTGACGCAACTGTTCCATAAGTTTGATTTAAGAACTACTATGCTGGTGAGTGTAACATTTTTTAAATTGCTTTAAAAAATGACCTAAAATGAGTTTTTCAACTCTAAGGTGATACATCTCGTGTCCTGTGAGAGATAACAAAAAGTGGTCAACTGATAAAATGTTTTTGATATTATAATAAACATTTTTTTAGTTAACATCTTTTTAATATCTTTTACAGTAACCTAGATAAATTGGCTCAAAGTTTAGCAAAAAGGATAGTAGGGTCCAAAAAAAGAGGCGATAGAATTTGCCACCGCGTAGCTCAGCCAACGACAGGCACAAATTAGTTTTTAATGTCGTTTTATAGGAAATATCAAAAGCTACATTTTGGTATTAAATTCATTAAAATGTGCAAAATTTGAAAAACTCTTCCCCTCTTTTAAATGAACCACCCTATGAGCTAAACGGTCGGTACCTGCGCTTGCAAACTTTGACCACCTACAAAATTAGCTTAAACTTTTGCAGCTTTTCCGAAATTTGACAATTTCATCAAACAAAACTAGAGCTTCATTTTCGTAGTTGACAACTTTTTTGTAAAATTAAATCCTGAAGAGATATGCCACGTGGAAGCTCCCCATCTTAAGAGCAGAGGCGTCTAGAAGGTAGCCGCAGTTCCACGTGGCATATCTCTTCTAGGTCAAGTTTTACAGAAAAGTTGTCAACTACAAAGTTGTAGCTCTAGTTTTGCTTAGTACAATCGGAAATTTTCAGTACATTTGCGAGAAACACTTCCGTGCCACCAACGCCGGCATGTCAATGTTTACGGGTCTCCATGCGAAGAATCATTTCGGAAGGCCGAACTTCAAAACATTCTTCCAATTTATACAGAACGAGCATAAAGAGGTTTGTAGCTTTCATCGATTTATCGATTTTCAATTTACCGATTTTTTCAGCAATCTGAAATCGGCGTGTTCAGTTGTGGACCCAACAATCTTAATGAGAAAATCGCAGAGGGATGTGCCGAAGCAAATCGGCAGAGGGATGCTCCATCGTTCGCTCATCGTTTTGAGACTTTTTGATTTTTTCTTAAAATTTTTAATTTCAAAAATATATTTTTGTCATGAGTATTCTGTGCCAGCTTTACCACCTTCTAAACCAATCACTTTTGTTCACTTTTTTGTCTGAAATTTTCATTTTTATGGGTAACAAACCATTTTTTAAAATTTTAAATTTAAATAAATTTTTTGGAAAAATTTTCCCGAGATATTCAGCTATTGCTTTTCAATCGATCGGAACCGTTTGTGCTCCTGGGAAAGCGACCTGTCACTTTTTGTTTGTATTCCATTGTATTTCTGTCTTCACCTTGTCACACTCTTAACGTTTATTGCCCGCTAATTACTTGCCTGATGACGTAGAAATATGTCCAGGTGGACTAAGCCCCGCCCCTTTTCTCCTCTCTGAGGGCCAAAAAATTCAGTTTACAAGGGAACCATGTTTAGCCTTCATCTCAGAATTTTTTCTAAATTTGCTCATTTATAGTTTTGAATACGGGCTTTCTCATGGTGAATTTGGTTTTCTGCACGAATTTCTAGAAGTCGAGTTATGGGCTTTTTAAGTGATTTCAGTACTAATTTCTCACTTTTTGAGTGAGTTTTTGAAAGGGTTAATGAGAGTTTTTCGACATTTTTTGTATGTCAGTCGTAATTTTAGAAATTTCTCTACAATCTGACAAACTTTCCTCATTTTTCAAAAAAACAATTTTTTTGAAAAAATTTTGCCATGGGTTTGCCCTTTGCGAAATTTTCAATTTTTCGAAAAAATTTAAAATGGGCTAAAATGAGTTTTAAACGCATGGAAATGATAAAATGAGTCTTTTCACAAGATTCTGTAGCCTATATCCGTTTTGAAATCCCAAATAAGTGATTTCTTCGAGTGACATTTTGAGTAGATAAGGTTTTCGAAACAAGTCCAAAATGAATTTTTCTCTCAAAATATATCGCTTTTTTCGAGGTTTTCTCTACTCAAATAATAGATGAAACATATTTTTGATTTTCGAAAAATGCAAAGCGTTCCTCCAACATCAAAGAAGAAAAAAAGAAAAACGAAAATGGACAATGACGGAATCGAACCCGAAACTTATGATTCCTATTCATCCCCACTATCCACTCGGCCACTGTTGCTCGTGGGCCAGTTGGGCACTGGGCTAGATTGGTCTAGACGGTCATGCGGGCTACGGTTTGCTGGACGTTTAGGTCACTAGTCTGGGGCACAGCTCGACTATGGATCAGATGGATGACACCGTTTGAAGTTTGTGAAGTGGGCCAGTTCTCAGCAAATTTTCGGCACGCTGGGGCACAGAGGGGCACAGGATTTGCTTCAAAACGGCACAGTGCCGCGTTTAAAGTGCCCTTGGAACACCTCAACCGTGCCCCTAGCGCGCGTATGGCGTGCCGCTACCGTGCCGGTGCCGTGCCCCTTCTTGAACCATCTGCGCATCTCGTGTCTATTCATTGAGTTTCGAAAATGCGTTTTATTTTCATAAATTCATATTTTCATCGTTTTATGGTTTTTTAGATTTGTTTTCTTGTCTTTTCCGGTGGAAAATCATGAAATGTATCTCTGTTTAGTTTTCAGACAGTTGCTGTAGCAAATGTTGGAAAGTCGGAAAGAGTTGGAAAGGCACCGAAGGGAAATCGGTGAGTTGAGACATGTTCAAGTGACAATGATATCGAAAATCTTTTCAGTTATGGAGACGAGAAGGGAATACGTCGGACGGTGTAGAGATAACGAAGATTGAGAAATTAGTTTCCGACCAGCAACGAGGAATATTTCAAGTGAAATATGTAAGTTGGGGGCAATATGTGAAAACGGAACATTGTTGTTTGAAAATAACAAAGTTCAAAAATATTTGAAAATAGTGTTAGTTCCTATTTTTCAGGTCAGAGACACACAGGCAAGCCCGAGATCAATGACGCTGGAGAAGAGGAGGAAAAAACTTAGATTCATCAAAATTCATCAACCTCATCACCACACTCTTCGGAATCTTCCCTACAAATTTAAATTTTCTAATCTTTTAAATGTTCTAATTTTTGTTGTTATCCTTTTTATTGAGTTTATAATGTAATAAACTGTTTGATAATAGGTAAATCGATTAAAACACCCGATTCCGAAGAAAAAAAATTCAAAAAACGGCACACATGAGCACGGCAACGGCACGCAAAACGCATGCGTGCCCCGACCCCCCCGGGCACGATTACCGCGTTGCAGCGGCACCGGTGCCCCAAGTAGCGGCACATGTGCCAAAAATTTGCTGAGTTGGGCACTGGGCTAGATTGGTCTAGACGGTCATGCGGACTACGGTTTGCTGGACGTTTAGGTCACTAGCATGGGGCACAGCTCGACTATGGATCAGACTGCGAACGATGGGTTTTTGAAGGTGATCCCATTGGAAAAAACCTTGTTTCCCTTTCTATGTACTGAGCCTCTACGTGGCGAAAGGTATCAACAGGCTATATTTGTCTGGCTAATACAGTACTTAAAAAACTCCTCTTTTTTCTCTGCAGTTTTGCATATCAATACATACATTTTTGCTATAAATGCTGTGGTCAAATTTCACGCAGGCAGGGGATGTGAATTTGAAAAAAAACTTTAGTTCACACGAAAAAAAAAGGAGAAAAGCGCAAGGGAGAATTCAGAAAATGAGGGAGGAATTTTTAAGAAAAAAGATATAATAGATCAAAATGGCAATGTTCGATCTACCACTGAGAATTTCGGAAATTTGATTTGTTTTATGGATTACAATTAACAAATTCAATAGCAAATTTTTAATTTTTATTTTAAACAGTTCAAAAAGAAACAGCTCCTCCAAATAGGTGTCGTTTGTCGAGTCCGGCAATTGTCCGAGACGCTCCGGAGGAATAAAACTGGAAAAATAAGTTCCAAAGATTTGGTGATTCCGAAATTTCTAGGAATCAGAAAAGTTGGGAACGATCAGAAAATCTACGATTTCAGAAGCCCTGAAACTCTGAAATTCAAAAAATGAAATTCGAGAAAAAAATCTGAAATTCATGAATTCTGAATATCGAAAAATAGAATCAAGAGGTTCAAAAAATCAAGAAATCTCAAAATTTAGGAAATTCCTTGAAATTCACGAAGCTCTGAAAATTCAGAAAAAGTGAAACTTCCAAATTTCCATATTTTTGAATTTTCGAATTTCTAGAATTTCTGAATTTCTGAACTTCTGAACTTCCGAAGGCCAGAATTTCTGATTTTCAATATTTCCGAATTTTGAAGTTTCTGAATTTCTGAAATTTCTGGAGTTTCTGCATTTTCCGAATACCGTAAAACCTGTAATAGAAGGGCCCCGACACTCTCATGTTTAAGCTCAATTATCTCAATTCCTGTGGAAGTTATCAAAAATGTGTCAACTGACGAAAAATTTCTGATGTTATGATAAACATTTTATCAGTTGACAACTTTTTCATATCTGTGACAGGAACCGAGAAAAATTGGTTCAAAGTTCAAAGTTAGGGGGCCCTTCTATTACAGGATCTACAGAATTTCTGAATTTCTGATTTCTGAAATTCCGAAATTTCAAAAAAACCTCACCTTAAACTTCTTCATATCCGCTTCAATCATCTCATAAAATTCATGAATTTCATCAAAAATATCATAGATCACAATAAAAGAGACGCAGAGAAAAAGGACAGAGAAAAATAGTGAAAACGAGGTGTACAATTGAACCAGTCCCATTTTGGGAGAAGGGGAAAGACAATGAAAAGAAAAGGGAAAAAGTTTTTATACTGAAATTTTCTAGAAATTTCTAGAAACTTCTAGAACAAAAGTGTCTAATTAAAACAGAGGGGAAACTAGTTGTTTTTTATTATCACCACGAAAAATCGGAACCTCCAGATGATAAAGCGCCAGCGTCAAAGTCTTCCAATTCGTCGATGGATTCTGAATTTTTGAAAATTACCGTAAAACCTGTATTAGAAGGGCCGCCCCTTCAATTGTTCTAAAGTACTTCCGGAAGGCCCTTCTATTAGAGGGATCCCTTCTATTTTTCCGGCCATTTTTTTTCTTGAAATCTTGCATTGGAAAATTCGACGAAGTTTCGTTCAAAATTCATGAAAATTCGCCAATTTTACCAAAATTTAGCAAGATTTTCATCGAAAAATAGAATTTCAATAAATGTTTATGAAATTGTGGAGTTCCCGGAATGTTTTCCACTCAAAAAGTACGGAAAATTTCTGATTTAAAAACACATTTCCTCTTTTTGGTCCCTTTTCACAGAGGGCCCTTCTATTACGGGGGTCCTTTTATTACAGGGGGCCCTTCTATTTTTCCGAGCCCCTCTCGGAGGACCCTTCTATTAGAGGGCCCTTCTAATACAGGTTTTACGGTAATCAATGTTTTGGTATTTTTTGAAAATTTGCAGTTACTAAAATCGGAAATCCCAGACTTCACAGAATTGCAGAGTTTCAGAAATTCAGAAAGTTTGAAATTTGAAAATTCCAAAAACTTCTAAACATAAGAAATTGAAAGATCTGAAAGTTCTGATTTTCTAAAAATCCTAATCTCCAAATATCTGATTTCTGAATTTCAAAAGTCCAGTTTTTTTTTCAACAACCAAAAACCCTTACCATCCGACAAAACCAATGGGTCTACTTGAGGTACAATAGTCGTCACCTCTTCCTTCTTTTTCTGTACAATCGGCGACACAATATTCACTGGTTTTTCTGGAACCTTCTCCTCCTCCTCATTCTTCTCTTCTCCATCTTCAAAATCATCCAAATCGTAAAAATCTTCTTCATTTTCTCCTAATAATGCATCAATCTCTTCACTTTCTTTTGTCTCCAAAGGCGGCCGATTTGCAGAAATCGATGGTAAATGCTCGACGTCATCTGTGACTAAACCCAATTTCGATGGCCCCCAGGAGGGTCCAGAATCCAAATTTTTAGAAAAGTTGGGTCCCAAAATTCTAGAAATTCCAGAAGTACTCTCTTCTGACTCCTCCACACTCAACGACTTCTTTAGAATATCCGCAAACGTTACTTTTTCTTCTTTTTCTTCTTTTTCCTCTTTTTCTTTCTCGGAATTTTCAGTATCTTCTGGAACGTCTTCAGAGTTCTCTTCAGAATCTTCCGAATCTTCTGGAGACTTTTCGTCCGGACTCTCATCGTCTGATTCATCATCTGAATGATCGGATTCGACGAGTTGCGCTTGTTGAACAACCATATTGTTTCGACGAGCCACCTGGAATTTATTGAATTGTTGAATTTTCAGAATTGGTGGATTTTTGAATTTCTGAATTTCTGAATTTTGAAATTTCTGAATTTCTGAATTTTGAAATTTCTGAATTTCTGAATTTCCGAATTTCTGAATTTCTGAATTTCTGAATTTTTGAAATTCTGAATTACTGAATTTCTGACGTTCTGAATTTCTGAATTCTAGTTTTTTATTTGAAATTTGGTTTTTTCATGAACTCAGGATTACTGTAACTGACTCTTTTTCCAAATTTTTAAACTAGCTTTTCAGAACGACTATAACTCACTCTTTTCGGTTTTTTTTTGAGAATTTTCGAATTTTCTAAAAAATCTTAAAATTCAACGAGACTAGGTCTACAGTACCCCGAAAGCCAAAAATTCTGGAATTCAAAAAATTTTGGAATTCCCATAAAACTATGAAATTTAAAGAAACCAGGTCATGCGTACACTCATTCGGATCCTCCACTCCAGCCGAATTCGAAAATCCACAATACAGTAACCCATCACCTACCGTAATCCCATACACCTCCATTCTCATCCGTCTCATCTCCGCATCGCTCGTCGGTTCGATTCGAATCGCTTCTCGTTTCAATTCCGCCGAATTCGTAATTCTCGGGAATTCGTGTCCATTTTCTATAGATCTTCCCTGTTTTTCCAGCTTTTTCGGTGCTCGAATTTTCAGATTTTTCACGAAAAAATCAATATTTTCAGCATTTTCAGCCAAAAACTGTTCGGGATTATCGATGAAATCGGCGCCCAACTGATTTCTCATCATTTGGCTCGCAATTGAATAGTTGTTGTCTTCTAGCCATTTTGCAATGATGCTATGAGCAATGCATTCTGAAAAAATTTTTGAAAAAAAAAACGTTTTTTTAATCATAAATTCTATCATAACTTTTTTATTCTTTTTCAAATGATTTGAAATCTTGATTTTCAGACTCAGCGCATTTTTGCGGTTCGAATGAGTATAATCATGAACTAATTTCAAGAATTTCGAAAATTTTCGAATTTTCACCCATATAGGCATGTTTTCTCATTTTGAAGCGCAAGACGCGTGGATTTTGAAAATCAATATTTTAGACTCCGCCCACCTCGATCCGTCAAGTTATCCTTCTGATCAGTTTGGTGTTTGGTGTTGTTGAGGGTCGCGTCGATGGTTGCACGAATATGAGCCTTTAAAAAAAATCGAACATTCGGGGAACTTAAAATTCAGAAATTCAAATTTCCAAAAAATATCTGAAATATTCAGAATTTTCTGAAATTTTCGAAAAAATTCAAAATTCCTAAACGTTTCTGACTCTTTCTGGCGCTTCTGGGTGGTTTTGGACAGCGAGCGGAGGCTCTGAAATCATCCAGATGTAGAACCATCTAGAAGAATCTAGAAGCATCTACACAGGGTAACGGCTGCGCATGGTATATGCGTTGGCGCGGCGCCTCATATGGACGACATAGGTACACCGTTTGCGCGCACGCGCCATCGAGATCGGGCATGACGCGTCCATATTTCATCTACAATTTCAGGTCGTATTGGCGATGGATATCTCTTATATGGATTAATTCATCTAACTATAGTTGTAATAAGATGTGATGTTGTTCAGATCTTCCAATATCGTTCATTTTCCCTTTCAGATTTTACAGAGCACGCTCTCCCCAGCTCTCAATATGAACTGCAAGTCGTTTTCTCAGCGGAGCGCGGTTGCGCGCGGCGAAAATTTATGTTTTTTAAATTTTGTACTGAAAAACCGGTTTTTATCAAAATTTTCTTATTTTTCGCCATTTTTTTTTCAATTTTTCGTCCATAGGAATTGTTAAACCGGCTAAAACACACATTTTAAATACAAAAGCAGCAAGTTCCGACAAAAAATGAAAGAGGAGATAGATTTTTAAGCAATTTTCTAAAAATGGCAATATCTTTTTTGACCGGTAGAGCATTTTGGCGGATAATAGTTTGAAACACTCAAAAATGAATTCTTTACAATAGTTTAAC